GACCCCCCGGGGTTCCCCCCACTCTCCTTCACCTCAACCCTGGGGGGGTCCCTGGGGGTTTCCCCCCTCCCCTGACCCCCCTGTGACCCCCCGGGGTTCCCCCCGACCCTCCTGTCCCTGGGGGACCCCCTGTCCCCCCACACCCCCCCAGGGGGTTCCCCCAATGCCCTCCCCAGACCCCTGGGAAGCCCCTGACCCCCCTTTCTCCCCCAGGATGGGGGTCTCCAGCCCGGCAGAGCTCCCGGCCCGGGGCGGCAGCGCAGCGAGTTCAGCCTGATGGCCAAGTGAGAGGGGGCCTGCGGGGGCCTGGGGGGGGACAGGGGGGGTTGGGGTCTCCAAAACTGGGGGGTTTGGGGCCTCCAGGTGGGACAGGAGGGGTTGGGGTCCCCAAAAATGAGGAGTTGGAGTCGCCGGGTGTGGCGGGACAGGAGGGGTTGGGGTCTCCAAAACTGGGGGTGTTTGGGGCCTCCAGGTGGGACAGGAGGGGTTGGGGTCCCCCAAAAAAAGGGGTTGGGGTCTTCAGGTGTTGGGGTTGGGGTCTCCAGGTAGGGCAGGAGCGGCTCAGGGTCCCCAGGAATGGGGGGAAGGGTCCCCAGGTGTGGTGGGATCGGGATGGGGGGGTCCAGGGACACCCCAAAAATCCCTGACCCTCCCTTTTCCCCCTTTCCAGGCGCATCGGGAAGGACCTGAGCAACACCTTTGCCAAACTGGAGAAGCTCACCATCCGTGAGTGGGGGCTGGGGTGGCCTCGGGGGGGGGCTCAGGGGGGGTCTAGGGGTGGGAAGGGGGCTCCTGGCAGCCCCTCCTCACTTCCCTCCCCCCCTCAGTGGCCAAGAGGAAATCCCTGTTCGACGACAAGGCCGTGGAGATCGAGGAGCTCACCTACATCATCCGCCAGGTCCGGGGGGCAAGGGGGAGCTTTTGGGGTGTCCCCCACCCCAGGGGACAGAGTTTGGGGTGTCCCTGACCCCCCCTCGTTTCCCCCCCCAGGACATCACCAGCCTGAACAAGCAGATTGCTCAGCTGCAGGAGCTGCTCCGGGCCCGGGGGGGCCCCGGCGGGCGCCACGTCCACTCCCACTCCAACACCGTGGTGGTGTCACTGCAGGTGGGACTGGGGGGCACTGGGGGGCACTGGGGGGTGGGAAAAGGGGGGGCAGGGACACCCACCCCCCCCAGCACCTGCTGACCCCCCTAATTCCCCCCCCAGTCTAAACTGGCCTCGATGTCCAACGACTTCAAGTCGGTGCTGGAGGTGCGGACGGAGGTGAGTCCTGGGGGCTTCTCCCCCCTTCCTTCCTCCTCTGCTTCCAAATTTCCTTCTCCCTTTTTTTATTTCCTTTTTATCTCATTTCTTCCTTTCCCCCTTTTTTCTTTTGTTTTCTCTCGTTTTTCTTTCTCCTGTTTTCCCTTTCCCCTCTTTTCCCTTCTTGTTTTTTCCTTTCCCCTTTTTTCCTTTCCTCTTTTTTTTACTTTCTCCTTTTTTCCCATTTTCTCATTTTCTCCTTTTTCTTCTTTGCCTTTTATCTTTTTGACTTCCTTAATTTCCCCTGTTTTTCACCCTTCCCTTTCCTTCCTGTCTTTATTTTTTTCCCTTTCCCTCGTTTTTTCACTTCCTGCCTTTTTTTTTTCCTTTTCCCCCTTCCCCCATTTCCTTCCTTTCCGTCTTTTTCCCCTTCCCCCTTTTTCTTCTCCCCTTTTTATCTCACCCCTTTTTTCCCTCCCTTTTCTCTCAACTCTCTTTATTTCCCTCTTCTTCCCCTGACCCCCCTTTTCCTTCCCTTTCCTCCTTTCCCCTTTTCCTTCTCATTTCCCCCTTTATTTCCCCCTTTTGCCCCCTCCCAGAACCTGAAGCAGCAGCGGAGCCGTCGGGAACATTTCTCCTCCCTCCCCGTCACCCCCAACAACCTCGGTGAGTCCCGGGATTTTTTGGGGGGGCTCTGGGGGGTCCTTTGCCCCCCTCACCACCCCCCCTGCCCCCCAGGGAACCCCGTGGTGCTGCAGGATGACCCCCCCAACTCGGGGGCCGTGGCCATCGAGATGGACCCTCGGACACACCAACAGCTGCAGCTCCTGGATGAGCAGGTGGGGGAGACCCCAGGGGGGGTTTGGGGAGGGGCAGGGGGGGCATTGGAGGCTGCAGCCCCCCCAGAGGGGCCCTCTCAGTTCAGGGGGTCGACAGCCCCCCTGTCTGGGGTCCTGCTGCCCTCCCCCTGCTTTGGGACCCCCCAGACCCACCTTTCCCACAGGATTCCTACATCTAGCACCCCAATCCCCTTTTCCCAGGATTCCTACACCCAGACCCCCCCAGTAATCTCCTTTTCTCAGGATTCCTCCACCCAGACCCCCCAAACCCCCCTTTTCCCAGGATTCCTACATCCAGCACCCCAATCCTCTTTTCCCAGGATTGCTGCACCCAGAGCCCCCAATAATCTCCTTTTCTCAGGATTCTTCCACCCAGACCACCCCGAATCCCCCTTTTCCCAGGATTCCTACATCCAGCACCCCCCAAATCCCCTTTTCCCAGGATTCCTCCACCCAGACCCCCCAAACCCCCCTTTTGCCAGGATTTCTACACCCAACACCCCAAATCCCCTTTTCCCAGGATTCCTACACCCCCAACCCCCTTTTCCCAGGATTCCTTGACCCCCCAATCCCCCTTTTCCCAGGACTCCTACATCCAGAGCCGGGCGGACACAATGCAGAACATCGAGTCCACCATCGTGGAGTTGGGCTCCATCTTCCA